GGTTTGAACTACAGAATCTCTCGGCCTGGGGGGCTTCAGGCGCTCGCCATTCTCCCCACCCCACCCCCCCGTTTTTCCTTCCGAGGAAACATGACCCATGCCGGCCGCCGTCGCCGCGCCCCAACCTACTCGTTCGCCGTCTCGCCGCGCACCGCACTGCGGCCCCTCGCGCCGTTACCCCGGCTCAGAGGGCGGAGCCTCGGGGCGACCCAGTGCGCCTGCGCGTGCGGTGCGCTTACACTCGGCGGTACTGGAAAAGCAGGGCGGAGCCGCAGACCTGTGCGGGTGGAGCTGGGCGGCGGTCGGGAGGAGGCCGTCGGCTGCATCCCGGCGGACCAGACCTTGGGAAGGGGAGAGGTGGGGACCAGCTGAGCTAGCGGGGAGCCACTGGTATGCATAGCTCATAGAGCCTCAGAACTGGCGACGTCCAGATGGGGAAACTGATGCTCAGTGTGGGATAGTTTCTACCTCGGGGACACAGTTGTCGGGGGTGGGGGTAGACGTGGGACTAGGGGCCCCAGAGGGGGGTGGAATCCCATAGCACGTTAGGGGCTGAGCCAGTAGTGGGCTTGTTGCCCAGCCAGGTTCCACAATAATCCACCCGATTTTTCCTACTGGGACGGCAGCAGGGAAAGCCTTAGAGGCGAAGGGAAAGGATTTTCATTTTTCAAGGAATTTTGAAGTCAGGACTGTTTGAGGGTGATCCAGTGTTTCTTAAAATCTCCAGTACTACTTGCATTGGATCTGGGGCAGATTCATGATCCCTACCCCCACCTCACCACTTGGCAGCCCCTGGTGCCTTAACTTTTTGATCTTTCTGGGTTGTGATAGGATTGTTCGCAATCCAAGCACCCGATGGGAATTTTAGTTATGTGGAATTTATCAGTACAAGTTCTAGGGAATTAACCATGAAGAAGACACAGCCCTTGCTTTCAAGCTGTTAAGAAGGTTGACAGTAAACAGTGCTTTTCTGGAGGAATCTGGGAAGGTTTCTGTGGACTTTAAGGATAGGCAGGAATGTATAAGCGGTGAAGGAAGTGGGGTGGAGATGAGAAGCTGAGACCGGGACAGTGTTCAAAGTAGCAGAAACAAAAGCAGCAAGGGCATATATTCTGAGTTGCTTGGCTTGCTTTAGAGACAATGCGAAGTTTGGTGTAGATAAGGAGGGCTGGAGCAGGATGTTCAGAACTTAGTCTTGGAGAAGTAGCCTTGGATGCCAGGTCCAATGGGCAATGAGGAGCTGTCTAAGGGTTTTAAGCAGGGGAAGGGCATGGCCAGTTTTGTGTGTTAGGTGCTGGTTTCGGTGTGCCAAGTGGTTTGGAAATAGAGAGACTGGGGCCAGAGAGAGAGCGCTCAGGTGTGAGATGATGAGGCCTGAGCCAGGGCAGTGGCTATGAAGATGGAGTGAAAGGGACATTAAAGAGATTTAGAGGCTGGTTGTAGTGGCTCACACGTGTAACTCTAGCACTTTGGGAGGCTAAAGCGGGAGGATTTAAAAAGGAGTTTGCAAAAGACCAGCCTGGGCAACATAGCGAGACTTCATCTCTACAAAAAATTAAAAAATTAGCTGGGCATGATTGTGCATGCCTGTAGTGCCAGCTACTCAGGAGGCTGAGGCGGAAGGATTACCTGAACCCAGAAGGTCGAGGCTGCAGTGAGCCATGATCCTGCCATTGCACTCCAACCTGGGCAACAGAGCGAGACTCTGACTCAAAAAAAAAAAAAAGATTTAGGACCAAGAACTCCCACTGACTGTAAATCGTTGGCCCAACCCAAGGACCAAAATCCTTCCAAATCTTTTTTTTTTTTTTTTTTTGAGTCAGGGCTTCCCCCTGTTTCCCAGGCTGGAGTACAGTGGCACAATCATGATGATCTTGGCTCACAGCAGCCTCAACCACAGCACCTTTGCTCAGATGATCCTTTTACCTCAACATCCTGAGTAGCTGGGATTACAGGTGTGTGTCACCACACCCAGCTGATTTTTTGTAAAGAAGAGGTTTTGCTATGTTGCCCCAGGCTGGTCTCAATAGTCTTCCACCTCGGCCTCCCAAAGTGTTAGAATGACAGGTGTGAGCCACCATGCCTGACCCTTCCAACTCTTTAAAATAAAGCATGAACATTATCTGACTACAGGGAAGCCAAGTGCTCCAGTCTTCTTGTGTGTGTGGTGGGAAGGGTGTAGGTGGTGGCAGATAGGTGGTCTGGCTATTGCCAGAAGAGCGTTTCCTGATGGCCTTGTCTGCTTTTGTACCTGAACAGGATATGAAGCAGCTATTACTATAATAGGTCCCAGGTGGCAGGGAAAGGCCACTGTGTTAACCAAGAATAAAGGAAACTGCTTTTGCTGCTCATGAAATTAAACATTAAAAAACATGCAGGCTTTCTTCTTTCAAGATGTTTGTCAAATGATGAATGTCTCTATTGGTGAGGTTTAGGGAGGTTTCCAGACCCATGTGGCAAGTAAGGGGGCTTGATTCCCATTTTGCGAATGTGGGAGCTGGGCCTCAGAAGTTTTGTAATGTGTTCAAGATGACCCAGCTTGTGGTGAGACAAGGAGTAAAGGGCTCGCCAAGGATCTTTCCAGAGGGGCTTTGCCCTTTCTGCTGCTTCTGTCTGAATGCGTTATCCCTAAGTCCTGGCCTGACTGGCTCCTTCGTGTCACTCAGATTATATCCTCCTTAGAGGCCACCCCCCATCAGTCTGTATCACATTATTTGTGTATTTTCTTCACAGCAGTTATTAGCATCTGAAATTGTTGCTTTCATTTGTTTGTTTCCTTCCTCTTGAATGTGAGCCCCATTAAAACAGGGACAAAAATCTGTCTTATTCACCACTGTACCCCTGGAATAGTGCCTGTCACCTAGTAAATACTCAATAATATTTGCCAACTGAGGGAATTAGCTTGAGGCGGGAGGAAGAGAAGGTCTTCCAACATTTAGTAAAAGCTTAGAGCAGGCATGTCCAACCCGTGACCTGCAGGTCACATGTGGCCCAGGACAGCTAGTCATGCGGCCCCACAAAATCTTTTAACATCATGTGCTTTTTAATGTTTATTTTTTTCGTGACCCCATGTTTAGTTCCATTTTGGAAGTTCACAATCACGCCTTATTCGTGACATCATTTTTTGGCAGCACATACATTTGTGAGCAGCTGTTTTCAATTATAAAGCACACGCAGAGCAAAATTCGAACAAACATTTCTGACAAGCACCTTGAAAACTCACTGAGAATTGTGATCACTGCCATCAAACTAGACATGGATAGATTGGTTTTACAAAAACAAGGCCAAGTTTTCCACTAGTTTTATATTGCTTTCATTTTTCTAAACTGCATAATCAAAAATATTCTTAAAAGAAGTCTTATTGGCCATTGCTTTACTAAATTCTGGTGTGGCCACGTGCTCTTTGAGCTATGGCCACTGCCATGTTTCCTGGCTTTGGCCTCCTCCCCTCCTTTGAGGAGGTGAATCTCCTCTCTCTCTCTCTCTCTCATTTATTTTCTAAATAAACTATATCTTCTAATCTAAAAAAAAAAGATATCTTATTATGTTTATTCACTAACTATATTATATAATTTATGTGCAGCCCAAGACAATTCCTCTTTACTCAATGCAGCCTAGGGAAGCCGAAAGGTTAAAGGTTGGACACCCCTGGCTTAGGATGTTTTAGGTAATTCTCACAAATTACCTCATTTAATCCTCTCACCCTTTCAGGGTGGATAGTACATCTCCATTGGGTGAACCTAAAAACATGCTAGGCTGGGCGGGGTGGCTCATGTCTATAATACCAGCACTTTGGGAAGCCAAGGTGAGAGGATTGCCTGAGCTCACGGATTTGAGATCAGCCTGGACAACTTGGCGAGACCTCATCTTTACAATAAATTGAAAAATTAGCCAGGCATGGTGGCTCATGCCTGTGGTTCCAGCTACTTGGAAGGCTGAGGTGGAAGAATTGCCTGAGCCCAGCAGGTGGAGGCTGCGATGGCCGTGAGCATGCCACTGCATTCCAATCTGGGTGATAGAGTGTGACTCCAACTCCAAAAAAAAAACCATGCTGAGTTGCTGAGTGAAGTCAGGCAGTTTTGCTGCTTTTGAGGCTGTATGCTCCTTTGAGAATCTCCATTAGGCACAAATATTTGAATACATCACATGGAGGAATTCACAGAACTTCTCAGGCCAACTCTGGGATCACAGATTGAGACCCAGGATTAGGGAACTTGCTCAAGGTCTTTCTGGCCCCAAACCTTTGCTGGATCCTCATTCTATGGCAAGAATAGATTCCATTTAGTAGACTATAGGGAACCTGCTGAAGAGTCTGGAGCAGAGAGAGATGGTGATGTGCTGAGCCTTCGGTTTCTCAAATCCAAATTCAAATCTTGACTACACAACCTAGCATTGTGACTATGGAAAAGTCATCTCACTTCTGTGAATCCTGCTTTCCTCACTTTTCTTTTCTTTTCTTTTTCTTTTTTTTTTTTTTGAGAAAGCAGGATCTAATGAGAGGACAGAAAAGCTCCCACAGTGGCAGCGGCCCAAAGGGGTTGCCCCTTTTTCCTCACTTTCAAAGTGGAAGTCTGGTTGGGCGTGGTGATTCGTGCCTGTAATCCCAGCACTTTGGAAGGTGGAGGTGAGAGGATTGCCTGAGCCCAGAGGTTTGAGACCAGCCTGGACAATTTGGCAAGACCTTGTCTCCACAATAAATAAAAAAATTAGCCGGGCATGGTGGCATACACCTGAAGTCCTAACTGCTTGGAAGACTGAGGCAGAAGGATCCCCTGAACCCAGCAGGTCGAGGCCGTGGTAGCTGTGATCGTGCCACTGTACTCCAACTTGAGTGACAGAGTGAGATTCCAACTCAAAAACAACAACAACAAAAAGTGGAATCTATTTTTCCCTAGCAAAAACAATACTTTATTGATCTGGTCACTATGTGCCAGGTACTTGGCTAATAACTTCATAGTCATTATCTCAGTTTTCGCCACAACCTTATGAGGTCAGCACCATGATGGTCTGCATTTTACAGCTGGGGAAGAGGAGACTTCGAGAGTTACCCTGACTTGCCAGAGACCACAGCATCACAGTGTTAGCTACTGTGTTTCTGAGCATGTACGTTAGTATGTGCCATGAGCTCACACTTCCCAAAGCTAACTCTTGAATCAATTACAGTCTCTGCTTTTACAGTGTGTGGGAACATATGAGTGTGAAATAGGTAAAAACAAACAAACAGCAACAGCAAAAGCCAGACAAGCAGGATGGTACCACAGTGTGAGTGGAGGCCAAGCCCTCAGTTTTGTGCTTTGCCTTTCCCCTGTGAAGGCTTATCTCTGGGTCTGGACTATGCCTTCTGACTGAGACATCTCTGTCAGTCTCAGGTCCTATATTATACATGATCTGCATCTGTGCACATGGCTGCTGTCTGTTTTTAGCTGTGACATCACCGCGCCTGGTGTTGTTTATGAGGCTGTCTCTCCACCTGGCTGGGGACCACTGCTGGCAACTCAGAGAGGAATTCCTCTGTCTTCTAGCCCCTAGGACTGGCCTGGGCCTGCATTGCTGCTCAGGAAATGCCTGTGGAATCAAAGTGAGGACTGTTCCATGTGTTGAGGATTTACTGTGTGCCAGGCCTGTCCCTGACACTTTATATGTGTTATCTCATTTACACTCCCACAGTAATCCTGGGAGGGAGAAGTTACTATCCTTGTTACTGAGAAGAAACAAACTCATTGAAGTTGGGATTTGCCACAGGCCCTCTCGTGATGACTGATGGCACCGGGCTGACTCTAGGGCCTGTGTCCTCACCACGCACGAGGTGCTGTGGACTGAAAAAGGGGAGACACACTTCTGGGCCCCGGGATCCTCAGAGACCTTCTGCTAGCAAGTGTCTAGTCCAGCTCGTATTTCATTCATGAGGACACAGAAGCCCAGAAAGGAGAGATCGCTTATGTAGGGTCCCTTTTCTCCACTTACTACTTGTTCACTTCCTTTTGGGCAGCATGGGATCTGTTTTTACTTACCATCGCACCACCCAGGTAGCCCAGTGCCTCATCCAAGTCGATACTCAGTGAAAAAAGATTTTTTTTTTTTTGAGTCAGAGGTCTCTGTCACCCTGGCTAGAGCACAGTGGCATAAGCATGACTCACCACAGCCTAGACCTCCTTGGCTCAGGCAATCCTTCTGCCTCAGCCTCTTGTGTAGCTGGGACTACAGGCAAGTGTTACCATGCCCAGCTATAAGTGAATGATTTTAAAATTTATTATGAAAATGTTGAGACAGGTATAAAGATCGATATAACAAACACTATATACCTACTATCCAGCTTGCAAAATTAAACATTGCTAATATAGCTGAAGGCCTTTTTGCCCTTCCATGACTGACCCCAATCCCAGAGGTAAAGGTTCTGAATTTGATGTTTATTATCCTATACAATATAATTCATACACCATAAAAGTCACCCTTTTAAAGTGTACAATTTAGTGGTTCTTTATATATTCACAACATTGTACAACCAACATAATTATCTAAATCCAGAACACTTTCATCACTCCAAAAAGAAACCTCATACCCATTAGCAGTCACTCCCCATTCCTCTCTCTCCCCATCCGCTGACAATCAGTAATTTACCTTGTCTCTACAGGTTTCCCTATTCTGATTATTTCCCTACAAATGGAATCATACAATATGTGACCTCTTGTGACTGGGTTTTTCATTTAGCATAATGTTTGCAAGGTTCATCCATGCTGTAGCATGGATCAGGACTTCGTTCCTTTATATAGCTAAACAGTCTTCTATTGTATGGCTATACTACACTGAATTCATCCATTCATCCACTGATAGACATTTGGTTTGTTTCTACTTTTTGCTATTAAGAATTATGCTGGCCGGGCACGGTGGCTCACGCCTATAATCCCAGCACTTTGGGAGGCCGAGGTGAGAGGATTGCCTGAGCCCAGGGGTTCGAGGCCAGCCTGGGCAACTTGGTGAGACCTCGTCTCTACAATAAATCAAAAAATTAGCCGGGTGTGGTGGCATGCACCTGTAGTTCCAGCTACTTAGAAGGCTGAGGCAGAAGGATCGCCTAAGCCCAGCAGGTCAAGGCCGTGGTGGCCGTGAGTATGCCATGCACTCCAGCCTGGGTGACAGAATGAGGCTTTGACTCAAAAAAAAAAAAAAAAAAAGAATTATACTACTGTGAACAATTCTCATGTACAGGTTTTGTGCAAATGTTTTCAATTCTCCTAGAAGTGGGGTTTCTGGGTCATATGGTAACAATATGTGTAACTTTTTAAGCAACTGCTGACAAGTGACAGCAATGTATGAGAGTTCCAATGCAGTCATCCCTCAGTGTCTGTGGGGGTGGGTTCCAGAAGCTCCTGCAGACACCAGTATCTGAGGATGCTCAAATTCCTGACATAAAGTGGCATGGTATGTGCATATAACCTACGTACATCTTCCCGTATACTTTAAATCATCTCTAGATTATTGATAACACCTAATGCAATGTAAATGCTGTGTAGGTTGTTGTTAAACTGTATTGTTTGGGAATAATGACAAGAAAACGAGTCTGTGCATGTTCAGTATAAATGCAAATTTTTTCCCAAATATTTTCAAGCCATGGTTGGTTGAATCCACAGATGTGAAACCCGTGTATAAGGAGGGTCAGCTATCCCTGAATTATGGTCTGATTATGGTCATCCTAGTCAGTGTGAAGTAGTATCCTATTGTAGTTTTGATTTGCAGTCTCCTAATAATTAATGATGTCGAAAATCTTTTCATGTGCTTATTGGCAGTGTACATATCTTATTGGGAGATATCTCTACTTAAATCCTTTGTCCACTTTTAAATTATCTTTTTACTGTTGGGTTGTAACAGTTCTTTATATAATTTCGATACTAGACCCTTATATGTGATTTGCAAATAGTTTCTCCCATTCTGTGGATGGTCTTTTTAGTTTCTTCTTTTTTTAAATCTAGTTCTAATGTAAATTCAATTTCTTGTCTTGAAGCACAAAGCTTTTTTAATTTTGATGAAGTCCAATTTATCTATTTTTTTCAGTTGCTTTTGCTTTGAGTATCCTATGTAAGAAACCATTACTAATTCCAAGATCACAAAGATTTGCACCTATGTTTTCTTCTAAGAGTTTTATATTTTTAGCTCTTCCACTTAAGTTTTTGAGTCATTTTGGATTAATTTTTATATATGGTATGAAGTAGATCCTATGCATTCTTTTTTATCATTTTACTAGGTGTGTTTCTAAACAGTATGCCGGAGGAACTCAAAAGAACCCAGAATTTATTTATGAAAAATTGTGGGTGTTCGCAGCCGCCGTCGCTCTCCAGCGCCAGCGCCGCCTCTCGCTCGCCGAGCTCCAGCCGAAGGAGAAGGGGGTAAGTAAGGAGGTCCCTAGACCATGGCTCCTACAGAGCAGACTGCCCGCAAATCGACCGGTGGTAAAGCACCCAGGAAGCAACTGGCTACAAAAGCCGCTCGCAAGAGTGCGCCCTCTACTGGAGGGGTGAAGAAACCTCATCGTTACAGGCCTGGTACTGTGGCACTCCGTGAATTAGACGTTATCAGAAGTCCACTGAACTTCTGATTCGCAAACTTCCTTTCCAACGTCTGGTGTGAGAAATTGCTCAGGACTTCAAAACAGATCTGTGCTTCCAGAGCGCAGCTATTGGTGCTTTGCAGGAGGCAAGTGAGGCCTATCTGGTTGGCCTTTTTGAAGACACCAACCTGTGTGCTATCCATGCCAAACGTGTAACAATTATGCCAAAAGACATCCAGCTAGCACGCCGCATACGTGGAGAGCGTGCTCAAATCCACTATGATGGGAAACATTTCATTCTCAAAAAAAAAAAAAATTCTCTTCTTCCTGTTATTGGTAGTTCTGAACGTTAGATTTTTTTTTCCCCCCCATGGGGTCAAAAGGTACCTAAGTATATGATTGCGAGTGGAAAAATAGGGGACAGAAATCAGGTATTGGCAGTTTTTCCATTTACATTTGTGTGTGAATTTTTAATATAAAAGCGGGGATGTAAAGCATTAATGCAAGTCAAAATGTTTCAGTGAACAAGTTTCAGCAGTTCGACTTTATAACAATTATAAATAAACCTGTTAAATTTTTCTGGGAAAAAAAAGAAAGAAAGAAAAATTGTGTATTTATTCCTAACATGTTTAAACTTCAAACATGTCACCCTCAAGGTACTCTTCATTTGATACAATATACTTGTGGAGACACTTTTTCCACTGCCCAAAACAGTTTTTGAACTCGTCTATTTTGATACGTTTTAGTGCTTTTGCTATTTTTTGTTTCACCTCTTTCACATAGGCAAAATGTTTCCCTTTGAGAACTTTTTTAATCTGGGAAAACAAAAAAAATTCATTTGGGGTGAGATCAGGTGACTAGGGAGGGTGGGACATGGGGGTCATGCCATATTTAGTCAAAAGCTGCTGAACACTCAGCTTGGTGTGGGCAAGTGGGCTCGTAAATCACCCATAAAGAAATGGGCAAATGTGTTGAAAGAATCTGCAAAAAAATTCACTGAAGCTGAATACAGCCTCTCACAATAGCACTAGCCAGTACACCGATGCCAATGGGTTCCTAGAACATTTACCTAGTGGGGGAAGCCTGTACAACAAGGGGCTCACCCTCCAAAAAATAACTGTTTTTTAGAGGGGTCCCTCGTTTGGTAATGTTTTTCATGGTATTTGAACTTTAAATGGACTACAAATATGAATTCTTGTGCAGCTTGCTTTTCTTTCTTTCTTTCTTTTTTTTTTTGAGTTGGAGTCTCACTTTGTCGCCCAGGCTGGAGGGCAGTGGCAGGTTCCCGGCCACCACAGCCTCGACCTGCTGGGCTCAGGGGACCCTTCTGCCTCAGCCTTTCAAGTAGCTGGAACTACAGGCACGTGCCATACGCCCAGCTAATTTTTTGATTTATTGTAGAGATGAGGTCTCACCAAGTTGCCCAGGCTGGTCTCAAACCCGTGGGCTCAGGCAATCTTCTCACCTGGGCCTCCCAAAGTGTCAGGATTATAGGCATGAGCCACCGCGCCTGGTGCAGCTTGATTTTCTTATTCAGCGTTTTCAGGAAAGTCATCCACATTGATACAGGTAATTCTAGTTCATTCATTTTTCACGACTCTATACGTTTCATTGCATAAAAATACCACATTTTGTTTATCTATTCTCCTGTGAATGGTCCTTTGGTTTTCTGGTGTTTTGCTATTACAAATGGCAAAAAGTCCAGTAGGTGCCTCCTTATACAGTGTGTTGAAGGTCATGAACCTATGCAGATTTATTAGGTAATACCAAATCTCCCTTCCAAGTGGTTTTACAAATGTGCCCTTCTGCCGCAGTGTATTAGAACTGCCCCTGTTCTACATCCTTGCCAAGATGCAGAACTGTCAGAGGATTTTGCTTTTGCCAGTCTAGTGGTTATGCAATGCTATCTCATTGTGATTTTCCAGATTAATAGCAAAATTTATTTTTCAGCAAATGTTTGTATGGTTGGGTGGGTGAATGCATGAAAGCAGAATGAGCCCAGCTCTTTGAGGAGGAGAGAGTCCTTTACTCTGCCTGTGGCAAGACAATTGCAGGGCTTAGATTGTGTGGCTATTGTAGGGAGACCGTGGAGCTAAGGAATGTTTGGGCAGACTGCTAACTCTGTATGTGGAAGATGGCAGGTGTCAGTGGGAAGCCAGTGATGGGGGGAGCCTTCCCCAGGGAGGGACTGTAGTCTTGCCCTTCTGCCTCCTCGAACTTTCACCAAAAGGGAAGGAAGCTGGAGAGTGAAGCCAGAAGAGAACTGCCTAAGAATGAGAAGAGGGGCTCATGTGACACTTAGGAATGAGCCTTTTTCTGGGACCTTCTCGTGACCTCTGTATTGATGGAATATGAAGGGGGACCCCCCTCAAAAAGCCAAAACAGAAGGTTTTGGAGGTTGGGCCCCTTGTAGTAAAGGCTTACCCTGCTAGGTAAATATTCCAGAGACTCATTGGCATCAGTGGACCAGCTAACATTGTTGGGAGAGGCTGAGTTCAGCTTCAGTTAATTTTTTTTTTTTGGAGATTTAAAAAATGCATTCACCCATTTGCCCATTTCTTGATGGGTAATTTATGAGCACACCTGCGCACACCATGCTTAGTGTTCAGCAATTTTTGATCAAAAACAGCATGACCCCTGTGCCCCACCCTCTCTATTCACCTGATTTCACCCCAGCGACTTTTTTTGTTTGTTTCCTGGGATGAAAAAATTCCTCAAAGGGAACATTTTGCCTATGTGGAAGAGGTGAAACCAAAAAAAAAGGCAGAAGCACTAGAAGGTACCAAAACCGATGAGTTCAAAAACTGTTTTGGGCAGTGGAAAAAGCAGTGGAGAGTACTTTGAAGGTGACTGAAGTTTAAACATGTGAGAATAACTACCCAATCTTTTATAAATAAATTTGGGTTTTCTGGGTCCCCCTCCTATGTACTTTCCTTATTTATTCTACTGAGTTTGGAGATGACAATAATAAGAAAAAGACCAGTAATGATCATATTGAACACTTATTATGTGCCAAGCACTACGCTTTTTCTTTTTCTAAAAAAAGTATGAGTATTGTCTGTTTCAATTCCTCATGGGACAGGTGCTGTTATTATTCCCACTTTACAGATGAGGAAGCAGAGGATCAAAGAGACAGAGTGACTAAGGGTTTGAACATAGGAAATTGGACTCCAGAACTCTTAGATATTGTGCTGTGTGGTTAGCCTGGCTCAGCTGAACCCAGGGGAGCAAAGAAAGGAGAGGTTGCCCAGGCCTGGGTGGGACAGAAACAGGAATACAATATTTGCTGAGCCTGGCATGGAGAGGGCAGCAGGATACAAAGTGAGACTCCCAGGGAAGAGCTCTCTTGAGAGCGGGTGCTCCAGCCCAGGGGCATGGCCTCCTCATCATGTGCTAGCAGCTGGGGACTCTGAGTGGGGTCTGCCTGCCCTCAGGTCTCGAGAAAAACCTGGTCTTGTGGGAGAGATGGATGAAAAATATGCAAACCTATCAATAAATAAAACAAATTCAAAGATTGGAATATATGAAACAGCGGGGGAGAGAGAACATTTATAAGGACCCATTTTAGTTAACGTAGTCAAGGGAAGACCCTTTGAGGACTTGAAATTTGAGCTAAGACTGGAAGGGCAAGATGGAAGCAGCCATATCCTTTAGTTTGGAGAAAGAGTATTCTGGGTGGAGGGAAGGTTTCTGAGACAGAAAGGAGCTTGATGTAGTTTATAAACTCTGAGAAGGCCAGTGTGTCTGGAGTAGAATGAATGAGTGGGTGAAGCTGCCTGACACAAGGCTGGGGAGTTGAGGCTGGGGAGTTGGCAGGGCCAGATCATGCTGGGCCTCTAGGCCAGGGTCAGCATACAGGCCTATAGCCTGCCTGTTTAAATAAGACCCAGGGATTCCATAAGACTTTCTTCTTGCTGTCCCAAAGAACTGGGAGTTGGCATATGTGGTAGTGACTGAATCCTAATACCTGATCTGGGAAAGAGGGTGGGTGGGTGGGGAGAGTTCTTGGTATCTGTCCCTCAAAAGCTGGAACAAGAATTTGGAGGCTGCATCCCACTGACCCCCAGGTGGGTTGGAGGGGGATGGCCTCGGCCCCCAAGGCACAGGAGATAAGGCAGCACTTCAAACTTCAGGTTGTAGCTGGGCTCGGTGGCTCAGCCTGTAGTCCTGCACCTTTGGGAGGCTGAGGTGAGTGGATTGCCTGAGTCCGCGGGTTCGAGAACTGCCTGGGCAGCGAGACCTCATCTCTACAATAAATTAAAAAATCAGCCGGGCGTGGTAGAGTGCGCCTGTAATTCCGGCTACTCGGAAGGCTGAGGCAAAAGAATCGCTGGAGCCCAGCAGGAAAGGCTGCGGTGGCCGGGAGCAGCCACTGCACTCCAGTCTGGGCGACAGAGTGAGACTCCAACTCAAAAAAAACAAAACAAAACAAAACAAAACAAAAAACAAGCTTCAGGTTGTACAGATATCCTTCAATACGTGTGTCTAGAATATGGAGTACTACTCAGCAATAAAAAGGAGCAAACGATACAAGTAACACCTTGTTACTCTCCAGAGAATTAGGCTAAGTGAAAAAAGCTAATCTCAAAATATATGCTGTATGATTTTGTTTATGTAGCATTTTAAAACAACAGTTTTAGAAATGGAGGTTAGATTGGTGATTGCCGAGGGTAGAGATGGGAAGGAAGTTGGTATGGTTATATAAGGGCAACACCGTTTTGTTGTCAGAACGCTTCAGGATCTCAGTGGTGGTGGAGAATCCATGAATCTACATGGCAGCAACACTGTATGGGACAATACACACAGACACACACATTAGTATATGTAAAACTGGGAAAATTTGAATAAGATCAGTGCATTATATAAATGTCAATACAGGGAATCTATAGCATTTCTTCCAACTGCTTGTGAACCTACAGTTATCTCAATAAAAATTTCAATTGAGAATAAAATTTGTCCAGATGCAGTGGCTCATGCCTGTGGTCCCAGCACTTTAGGAAGCCAAGGCAGGAGAATTGCTTGAGCCCAGGAGTTCAAGACCAACCTGGGCAACACAGAAAGACCTCATCTCTAAAATAAAATAGTAAAAATAAAATAAAATTTCAGGCCCAAAGCATTAGATAGAATGACAGAGATATTCGTAATAATAACATTTTCAGTTCATTAAAAAAAAAAAAACTGAGGGCTGTGCTCACGGAGGCCTCTTGTCCTTGAGTCAGTGAAATCCAGCTTCCCAGATACATAGACAGTATGCCCTGAGGTGTGGGAGCAAGCAGGAGCACCCCCAAGACACTCAGGATAGAGCAGTGGCACCATCAAACCCTTTGGGTTGGTTTCCCAGCCTAGCCTTTGGAGCTTTCCTCTGCCCGACACCTCCCAAGCCAACTGACAATGACAAGGGTGAGGGCGGGCCGCCACTCTCCTCCCCATCTGTCTCTACCTGGTCTCCCCCTACTCTCCACTCCACCAGGTTGAGCTAGGCACCCCTCCCCAGGAGGCCCCTGTGTCAACTGTTGTTCACTGTCTATGCCTCTGTTCCTATGTCCCCCACCAGTCTGAAACTCCTGATCTTTAGGGGCAAGC